CCAACATGACTACAAAACATTTCCTAAAAACTATATATTTTTTCACTCTACTTTTTCATAGATGCACTCTGAACTTGTGATTATACACTGCATATCCTCCAAAACTAAGTGGCAAACTTTCATTTTGGAGAACTGGATAGATGTGCAAGTTGCAAATGAGGCTGGTGTTGAGCAAGGATTTGTTGGCATGGCCAAAAATGTTTAGACAAGCATGGTAACAAGGTGGTTTCTATCAAAAGCACGTTATGGTAAAGTAACCTAAGGAAAAATAGCAGATTCACATGGTCAGGTGGTCAGAATGGGACTCCCGTGGAGCAGTTTGGAAACTAGCAGTCACAGTGGAAGTGGTGCATAAGGAGATAGCCTTGAAAGGGAGGTTGGCCAAATTGAAATCATGTATGTTTTTTGGATTTTTTATTTTTTTCTTCCTAATGGGCAAAACTTTGTGATAGCATTTCATGAATATTGAATTATTTCCATATGCCTGTAATTTGAGTCTTTAAATAATCCCACTAATTTACTTGCTCCACACCCCACAAGCTACATACTCCCAGATGCAAGTCGTCAAAGTGGTCAGAAGACCCGGGTGGTGAAGCACTCCATCAGTCCTACCTACAACCACACCATGGTATACGACGGCTTCCATACCAGCGACTTGAGGGAGGCTTGTGCTGAGCTGACGGTGTGGCAACGCGAAGGGTTAAAGACTCATGTCCTCGGGGGCGTCCGTCTGAGCTGTGGAACTGGTTAGATCATCTATATTGCACATTTTAATAGTTTAACTGAAAATCACATCAAAAAAGACCCTAACTATTTAGGGTTACAGAGGAAGAGGTGATATAGAAAGAAAACTCGACCTCTGAGAAGTACAAAGAAGTAATGCAGCATCGTAATAAGGTCACATATTTATATAATTTGTGTTTTTTGAATAGATTGTGGTTACTGTTACACATAAATCTGACTAGAGAGTGACTATAAACGAAGGTGATTCTAACAGTTTTTGTAAATAGTTTGTCAGCGTGTTGTGCTGGCTCTTTTTTTTTTTTTATAACTAGTGAAAAACAGTGAAAAGTGGTAAGATATCGCTGCATGATACATCCTTACCTGCAATACTATCTAAGAGCCACAAGTGATTAGGGACTGCATTGTTTCCTCTTGTCTCCCTGTCTGTTGTTTGTCTCTGTAGTTGACTGGAGGCTCTGACAGGATCTCCTTGTCTTTGTGCTAAGCTTTTCAAATGGTGTCTCGTGGGTGCTGTGATACTTCACAGGTTTGCAGGAGGAAAGCACTTCCTGTGTTCAGGGCTGGAACATTAATGCAATTGTTGCACTTGTCTCATATTTCAATAGTAGGCTTTGTCGATTGTGTCTTGAAAACCCGTCTAATTTTTTTCTATAGTGCTGATAGTTGAGACAACCTTAGAGTGAAATGCTTCATACTGAACTAATGCCTGCTGGCATGTCAGGCATTTCATATGGTCGTGTCATCGGAGCGAAGTCACCTCGCTAGTAATGCAGCGTCTCTGTTATTGATGTTGCAAAATCCTCGTCTGCTTGGTTGCTTTTGAAATCTACCACATAAACTGCAAGATAGATTTAGCAGGTGTGTCTAGTGACATACAGAAAACAGTTTAGTTTCCCTCAAGTACTTATCCTTAATACTGATGGTGGTTTTTTTTTTGCTCGTAGATTGTGTTACTGTGCTTTATATGGAGTGGGAAGCACTCAAGATCAAATTGCAGGCAGAGCATCAGCTCCATTATGTCTCACTGCGAGGAAGATGATGTCAGAGAAGTGGTGGGAAGTAACAGCTTTGAAGGATTTGTTTTGTTACAGACAGATTTTGAGCGAAGTTGTGTTCTTCACAGGCAGAGCTGTTGCCTGCTGAGGCTGTTTGTTGCTGTCAATTTTAGCTTGGAGGTTGTAGTCACGATTTCTCAATGGCTGTATGCAGAATTTTAGTCTGTTGGTTAAACCTTTTTCCTTCTTCAAATGGAGTGTATGTGCATGGACATGCAGGGAGTGTTTACATCTCTTTGAGAAAAACAGCTGCGGTAAAGTCCACAACATAAATAATGACCACACATGTGGGTTTTCTGTAATGCCAGGTCAGAGTTACGGCGAGGTCGTCAGCTGGATGGATTCCACAGAAGAGGAAGTCACTGTGTGGATGTCCATGATTGAGAATCCAAACCACTGGATTGACGCAACGCTACCGATCAGAACTAACCTCACCCGGCGGTCTGAGTGACTCAGACGTATCCTGCACTCAAGCGGAATCATTCGTATGCACGTTGCTATTATGGTCGGACTGAAGGGAAGCCATCTTCACATCTTCACATTTACCTCTCTGTCACAGTGATGCACACTTGAACACACAGGTGTTTTTCATATGTCCATACTATATATTGTACATGGCACAGAAACACACAGGGAGGTGTAAGCAGTGGTATAATATTTTGCCTTAACGGAGTGGATTGGATCGGTTCAGTCTGGCTCTAATCTGGCAAAGAGGCACTTTTTTGTTATTCAGTGTAGTTTATGAAGTACAAATCTAAGTGTTGAGTCATTAGTGCCCTGGCTTAGTGACTTCTCTGTGATATTACATGAAGTAAGAAGGGGGTGGGAGGTCTTTCCTTTTATTTCAAACGCAGTCTCAGCCCTTTCAGACAATTTAAGAAAGGCAGGCCTGATGACTTTCACTGTGAGAAATTCTCCTCATTCAGATAATTGTATCTTTTTTAGGTATCTCTATTGTAAATAATTTGGAAAGTCCTTGCAGCTGAATTCACTCAGCTAATCTCTTTTGACTGAATAGCTGACTACCACCTTGTGGTCAGACTGTATACAAATTCTCGACACACTGAGCAAATGACAGGGGGCGCAGTGACGGTCACAGGCAAAGAAGTGAGAAGAAAAGGGCCTGTTTCCGTGTTTCCCTAAAAATAAATTTTATTTTTCACATCAGCTATTCTTCTTTATATTTCTCACCAAGTAAGAATTTACTACATGAATCATGATTCATAACTTGTGTCCAGCAGATGGCAATATTTACAATACTTTTTCAAGCTGGAATAACAGTAAGTGTCTGTGTGTTGTGTCTTAACGTTTGTGATTTCTGCATCTCATCGCAGGTTTTCCTTAAGTTGCACCTTTCTTGTTGACACCAGATACTGGAAGTCCAGTATTATTGGTATAAAGAGGCTGTTTGAAGGCAATATTAATTGTTGAAAAAACGTCTGCAAGACACTGTAAGAATCAAATGTTATTGGTTTCATAGTTTCCCCTGAAACACTAAGCTCTTGTGGTGAATTTTTAAATGTCGGTCATTCTGTCTTTATATAATTAGGTTTACTATTTTATTACTTTTTATTATTGCCTTGGATAGTTATGTAATTCTAATTTTGTGTGCCCTGCAGATATTCACCATTGAGGTTTCTTTCTGAGAACTGCGGTCTGTTTTGATATCTGCTTCACAACACTGTCTGCTTAAAATAATGTATTAATCTTCTGCTCCTGTAAGCTTTTTGTCATGAGAAATTACAGGTTGTCCTTGTTTTCTCCTTGACTCATTTTTCATGTCTAATATGATATCTAGCCGAGAGACATCAGTTGAAAATTACTTCTGACTCTAGCAGGTCCACGGTGTTGAATCATCCTTGAAAAACTAAATTAAAGTGACTGTGCACTTTTATTTTGTGGGGGGCTGATGGTGGATGTACTCTCCTTACATATCTGTTGTGTATCTATTTGCATTAGACCCTCAAAATTGCCCTTTAAATCATCAGATATACATGCTTTACACTTGCATGTTTCAGAACAAATTTTAATATTAGACAAAGATAACTTGAGTAAATTAAAAAAAATGCAGTTTTTAAATGATTTAATCTATTCAAGGGAAAAAGTTCTCCTTGTTAAATCATGAATTCACTTTAACCACATCACAGACCTGTTGAATCAAAAAATGACATGGTAATAGAACCTATGCGACAAAGTGAAGTGGATTAAAAGTTTTCAAAAAGTAACACATCATGCCTCTAAAGAAACTGCTGGGAAACAAAGTCGCTGACATCTGTCAGACTGGAAAGGGCAACAAAGCCATTTCTAGTGCTTTGGGACTCCAGCCATTATCAACAAACAGAAAACAATGTTGAATCTTCTCAGGAGTGGCCGGCCCTCCCAAGTTACTCCAAGAGCAGATTAACGACTGATCCAATGACCATCAAACAATCATCTCTAGCTGCCTTGCTGCTTTGTCTCATAAACCTAAATGGGAGCAAAAAAACCCCCAAAACTCATCAGGAATGGGGCACTGTATATTGGAAAATGCCTTGCAAGCATGCTACAATCTGGAAAAACAAGTACATTTTATATGAGAAAGTCATTTTTAAAATAAATAATATTGGGCTATAATACATTAAATGAATGATTAATATTTTGAGATATACGCATTTAATTTGTACTTAACGCGGATTGCATATATGAAATATATCTTTTTGGAGAAGTTGGAGCTATTTCCATGGCTTTGATGAATCTGACTAAAGGAATGTTCTTCCATAACACCCACATTTTCTTTTCTTTTTCTCAAACACCAAGATACTTTAGATGGTAAATATAAATTTTAGCAAAGCTTTTATTAGGTTCCTGAAGCGACTAACAGTAAACATTTCCCAAATCTGCATTATAAACATAAACAGTATATAGCCGCCCTCTTCCTGATGTGTGATTTTGGTCTGATGATGGGTTAAAAAACCATTTTAACATGTTTCATGTGTACCTGTTCAGTATATAAATGAACGTGTATTCTGAAGGAGAATAAATAGCCCTAAGGAAAGACAGAAAAACAATGGGTTTTTGGTCAGCCAGCGGTTCATTGTCATTCTAGTGGAACAGATACAGGACAGTCAGTGTTGAGGCATATTTTCGTTTGTGTTACTGCGCTAAAAATTCAAGTAGAAAATGATGTGTAGTTACGGTGTTTCCACCGGTAGTAAACCGTCGAGGTTCTTGAACACACACTACCGTAAACGTTTCGCGGTAGCCATGGCAACAGTACATCAACTTCCCTGTGAATGGACTGTAGCTGAGTCTGGCCTCATCGAAAATGTCAAAAATATCTGCTATGAACAAACGGGCGACACAGACGCTCGCTGAGAACATTTCGAAACAAGTGGAGCACTGTGAGTATGACGGTTAAACTTCTCAAATCAATAAACTAAGCCAGCTTTGTTATAGCGGTAGTTCAGTCCATGCTAAGCTTTACGGTTCATTGTTTTACTTAGCAGGTATGAAAATACACACTGCCGTCTAGGTATTGTTAGAGCAGATGAAGTGTACGCCATTTTTTTTATGTTTCTGTTTATAGTCAGTAAAAAAGAGGTTGAGTGCCTTATCCGAGAGTTTAACGTCCTTGTGGCGGAGCAGAACAACTCTGGCAGAGCTGTGCACGGTCTGGACCGAGGGAAGTTCATAAGCACACTCCACAGCATCTTTGGACTTACTGATGACAGGATGACGGGTAGAGGTATTCAGTTTACAGTTATTTAAACTTATATTATTTACAAACCCAGTTCCAAAAAAAGGTGGGACGCTCTGTAAAATGTAATTTTTGATTATTTCGAATTTGCATAAACTGTAGATGCAGTTTTTTGTAGACTGGCAAACCTCAGCTCATCTTTACTTTTGAGGAACTCTGCTTCTCCAAGATGTTTTTAAAAAATAAAATAAAATATCCATTCATGTCAGTGACCTGCTGCCAATTAACCTAAAGTTGCATCGTTTCTTTTTTTAGTACCACTTAGTTTTGCACCCTACTGTTGCCCTCTCAGCTGTCTTGAGATATGTTGGTGCCATCAAATTTAAACAGAGCCAATATTGTTTTTTGAAATAGTAAAATGTCAATAAAATGGTGGAAAGTAAGCAAAATCTCCAAATCATCACTATCACCCTGTAAGTACGACCCAGAATTCTCACCTCCACCACCTTTTTCAGAATGATTAAATTAAATCTTTCAGTACGCTTGTCCAGGAGTACAGCTGGGAATGAGCAGTTTCTTCAGTACAAACAATTGAAATCTATAATTAAATCCAAGACATGTTGTGAGTGTAACTGTCTGTCATTCAGTCTTCAGGACATTTGACAAAGACAACGACAGCGTTGTCAGCATGAAAGAGTGGATCGAGGGACTGTCCGTCTTTCTTCGGGGGACCTTGGATGAAAAAATAAAATGTAACTTCTCAATCTTACTTTTTTTTGCTTAACCTCGCTCTCACTCCTTCACACATGTAGCTTTATCTACCTAAAAAAAATCCCTGTGTTTGGCATGGCTCAGACTGCTTCACTGTCTACGACCTGAATGGTGACAATGCCATCTCTAGAGAGGAGATGCTTCATATGCTGAAGGGCAGGCTCATCAGACAGCCCAATGAGGAGGACCCTGACGAAGGAATCAAAGACCTGGTGGAGATCATACTGAAGAAGATGGTGAGCTGTTTGCTGCACAGATATAACTGTTTACACATGATTAAAACAAACCAAAACACTATTTAAAAAATTCTCAGGTCTGTAAATAGTTTAGCAGCTCTGCCAATGGTGCTTCCTCCCACAGGACTATGACCATGATGGCAAATTGTCTTTTGAAGATTTTGAAAAGACTGTGAAAGATGAGAACCTATTGCTGGAAGCTTTTGGAACCTGCCTTCCTGACTTCAGGGTAATCTGTAATGAGAATTTGTTAAGCTCTTTAAATTTCCCCATCAAAAATTCTCAATCTTACAGTCTGCTTTTCTTTCTTTTTTTCCAGAGAATCGAGATGTTTGAGGGACACGTATTTCAGGAACAATTCGAACAATAACCAAATCACATAACTGCATACCTAGCCAAAACATCTTTAATATTAACCTCAATGGAACGGTGCTGTGATGCAAGATTTGTTTAATTAAGAAAAAATAAATAAATCCTGCTCTATCAAATCCGACGGCGTGGTTTGACCTTCTTCTCCACTGGTTTGATGTCTGGACTCGATGTCACCTAGGAGAGACGACGAAACTGGATTAACTGTAAAAAGTGATTTAGAGCATAGTGAAAATATTATTTTGTCCTTAATTACAACCAAAACAATATAATCACATGTACCTGCTTCATTGTGTTCCTGATCAGGCTGACAGTTGTGTTCAGTGACTCATCCTCCATGTCCAGTTTGGATGGTTCTGGTAGTTTTGGTCCAATCAAAGGCTCGTTCTGCCCAGAAACAGTACTGGAGGCCTCCTCAGCCTCTTCCATTTTGCGTTTCCGTTTCTCCAAGTGTGTGGTCCGAGGAAGAAATCTGACTGCTGCAGCCTGACGTGCTGACGGTCTGCTCGATAAGGTCTGTTTGCTCCTTGAACTCCCTTCTCGCTGCTCTAATGTGTCAGCACAGGTATTGTGCAAAGTCCCCATTTTATCCTCTGTTGGTAAATGTTGACTTTTAGGCCTATGGTAATGATGTTCTTGGGGAGGTAATGGCAGTAGAGGAAAGCCTAAATAGTGGCTGATGTTTGGAGTCTCCCTTGTATTGTCATTTCCAGAGGTCTGTTTGTGTGTGAGGATGTTGTCGTCTGACGTGGTAGTTGTTTCCGATGAAGTAGGCTCCTCTTGTGTGTCCTCTTTCTGTTCCCTTTCTCTCACTTTGCAATAATAAAATGAGACAGAAAAAAGTGTCAAAAATCCACATCATTCAAAAAGATCCGAGTCAAATGAAAATAAAAGTGCATGCAGATATCCCTCCCCGGATCCAACGCCTCCTGTCATGCTTACCTCCCCGTCTACAGAGACAGCGGCTCAGCTGGAGGCACGAAGAATCGCAGCGTCTGTGCACATTGGTGCACCCCCGCCCTTATGTTGCTTGTCTGTGTTTCATGGAGTATAGTGTGATGATATCTTTGCTCTTTATGTGCTATGGAGTGTTTTTGTGTTTTCTCCTCATGATGACTCATTTGTCAGAGTCACCATGGGCAGAAACCTTTTTTTTCTCCTGACCTTGCCCCTATATGTTACATATTTCACTGTCTACCCTTTTTTTTTCTGCTGCCTAGTCCGACCTGTCTCCCCAATGTAAGTTTGTATATTTTATGTATTGTCTGTATGGTCATCTACTGTAGGTCTGTCATCTCAGCTGCAGGCAACTGCAACTGGCAAATAAAGCTTATCCTTATTTATGTTAAGTGAAGTTTGCTTGGACTAATGAGGAACTAAGAAGCTACTCATTTGAGTGGTGGATTTTGTGAGGCAAAATATAACCTATAGACATAAAATTATACCTCTTTTCTGAGCAGCCCGGATGACATAGCTCCTCCGGTCCTGCAGCTTGAGCCTGGTGTCTTCCACAGTCTCGTATTCGGGGACGTAGCACACATGCAGCACACCACCATAGAAACTTTTCTCATCCATGTGTCGCTTTGCTGCTCTGAAATGAAACCAAATTATTCAGAAGGTCCTTCAGACGTTGCCAGTTAGGCATAATGAACAGTCTAGTGACATCTTGTACCTGGCACTTGTGAGTTTTTGGAACTTTACGAGGTACACCTCTGTGAACTCCTCGGCAGGATACTCGTCCAGGGGCCTGTACTCCTCCACAGCTCCATAGAGGGCACACAGCTGAATCAACTCAGTCATAACCCCAATCGCTGGGACCCCTTGGACCATCAGGTAACGACTCTCTAAATTTATGGTGTAAACCTGCAAATAATGCAACACTTGACTGCGGTACACTGATGGGAAAATGCTCATGTGAAAACTGCGAACAGTGGTTATATTTATCATCCAGATGTGGTTAAGGCTCTCACTGTGGTTCAGTGGAGTCCATAAAATCCGGAAGAGAGCAAATGTTTTTTTAAAAACACTGTAAGTGACGTTCCCACGTAGCAGGGAGTGTCTCACACCTTAAGATACGCTCTTTTCTAAACAAAAGGGTCCTCTTACCTTAACTGCTTTGGCTTTTCTTCCTTCCCTATATTTTGGTCGAGAAATGCACACTCTCTGCTGTTCGTGATGTTTGTAAACCTCCGGGACTCTCCAGCAGCCAGAGCTGTTGTTGACGGGAGCCGCCATGTTTGTGGAAATTAACTTTTCACTTGATGCATTTCAAAATAAAGGTTCATTCTCGTGTTGAATAGGATTCATTCAAAGCATGTCGTAGTTGGACGTCTTATTCTGAAATGCGTTCAACCGAATATCGGCTACTCTGGTCTGGCACACACAGAGCACATCGATCCACTATGAGTTTGTCATACACTTGATGTTAGCGGTGCAGCTTCCTTGACGCGTTGAACGCGAAATAGAAAACTTTGTGAAAATCATGTTTAGCAATCAGGGCATTCAACCCGTAACTGTCACTTTTAGCAACGCAAAAAACTGCTTTTTACACCTTCCCTTGAAGCTAATATCACAGCTTTCCCTGAACGAGGTAAGATAGCCTAGCTAACCACCTAGCACTATCGTTTAGGTAAAATTAGTAGAAGCTTTGTTGACTTAAACCATTTTTAGCTAAAATGTTGGCCCGTTCTGTATGTTGTTCTATTCTTGTATTTTTTTTAACAAAATTAATGCTGCTGTAAATTAATATCCGAGACCATTTGACAGTTATTCACATTACAAAATAAAATGTGACTTCTGCAGTTTAGACCTCGCGTCAGGCTGCTCTCTAGATCAAATGAATTGGAAAGATCAGTTTTTCATGACTCCATTCACTCCACTTCGGCCCGGCTGGAAACGTGCTCTGAATATAGATAGAAGAGGAGCTGAGTCAAACACAATACTACAACATATGGAGAGAGAGGGTAGTTAGCAATTAGTATTTCAGTATTTGTTTCCTTCTCGGTGGAGGTGTTTTCGTAGCAGTTCCTGTACGGTTTCACTTGGTGGAGACAAAGGACTAGGTTAGAAATAAATCCGGGGTCTAGTGTATCTTTTAAAATGACTTTTCTAGCTTGTGTCCTGTTCGCTGTTATGAATGAACAGTGTTTTTCTGATGAAGGCTTTCTGTTTATATTTGCACTTTTTTGGCTAACAGGAATTCCTGGTTCGTGGCTTCCTCTCCTTAAGTTTGACCTTTACTTACAAAGGATTCAGAACTGCGTTAACCCTGTCATTATTAGTCTAAACAATGTAAATGGATTGAATGAGGACGATTTGTTTGCTCAAGCATGGTTGCAAGCAAGGATGGTGGTCATGGTGTAGTCTATGGTAAACAAAAGGTGCTTCAGCAAACATGCAGTCATGTGAAAAACAAAGTACACCCCTTGATTCAGTAAAGCTTGTTGAACCACCTTTAGCTGCACTAAATTGAAGTAACCATTTTATTTATGTTGTTATTAGTGTCTCACTGTATTGTGGAGAAACTTTGTCCCACTCTACTTTACAGTGTTTGCAGGAATTTTTTTATGCACAGCTCTCTTTAGGTTCCGCATTTCAATCAGGCTGAGGTCTGGACTTTGACTGGGCTATTGCAACACACTGATTCCTTTCCTTTACAGCCACTCTGTTGGAGATTTGCTGCTCTAATTTGGGGTCTTTGCCAAGTTGCATGATCCCATGCAACTTGGCAATGACCGTAGAATACTTTTGTATACAGTGACATTCACAGTCAACCCATTTAAGGTCTTTTTCAGAACCAGCCTCTGGAGTTGTCCTGTGGTCATGGGCCTCCAGTGTTCCTCACCTGGACTCAAAACAGAGCCAGCTCCAGCCTGGACAGCCACAAAGTGGAGCTGTGTCGGCAGCTAGGAGAGAAGCAGGGCCTGACAGATGGAGAGCAGGTAGAGCCCCTCCGTGAGGAATCTGTTCTTCGCTGTATTTTCAGAAGAAGCTAATTTTCTCCATCTTGTGACAGTGTACAGTGATTGTCAGTTTCTGTCTGGACTTACTAGTTGTTTAGTTTACTGGTTTGTTTTTCCTCAGGGCTTCTTAAGGCCATGTCATCAGGTCTCATCATTGGATCGGGTGTTTGTGGAGCCTGTATCAGCTGATGACTGGGAAATCCTGGTGGGTAATTTAGTGACATACAATATGTGAAACTTGTCTTCATACAAGTTTGCATTATTTTACACATTCTAATAATTACAAGGTGACTTCTCCTTTTTAAAGCACACTTAACAACTATTAATATATCACTTTTGTGTGACTGATATCGCCAGGAGCTCCACAGTTCTGCGCTGGAGCTGCAACTACTGGATCAGATCAGAGTAGTTTTCCAAGATGCCGTGTTTCCTGTGTGGGTGGACAACCACACGGTAATCTTTATCCGAATAGGTCAGTTTTGATACAATTATTCTATGTTGTTTATCAAATAACATGTGACACAAAAATATTGCAGTTATAATGGTTTGCCTGCTCAACTTGAGTTTTAAATGTTTGACTTCTATGACTACAGTTTAATTTAAAAAAAATTCTGCACAGCTTCACTTTCTCCACGTGTGCCCTACGGTCGCCTGGAGCAATTCACAGAACTTGTTGTGTCCCCGAAGATCCGCGCTGAAACTGGCACCCACACACATTCTCATCTAAAAGCCAACCCAAACTCAGAAAGTTTTCACAGACAGCCAAACATGGATTTCTCCTCCCCTTCAGGACCATCATCAGAAACTGCCTCCTCTACTTCTAACAGCCACCAGTGGGGTGGCATAGCCGACCTGAAAAGCCTCTTTCATCATATGATAAAGGGCGCTTATGACCCAGTTAAGGAACAACCGCCTTTACCTGAAATCCCCGCTCTCCTTACGGACTCTCTGTACAGAGTGTGCGGTGCACCTCCCCACTCTCTCAGCACCATAAGCCACGTTGCAACTAATGCTATTCACATCTTTCCTTGGAGCCACAGTTTCAATGCTAGGCTGAGTGAAGGTCACTCCTCAATTACATATGGCCTTCTCTCCAAAGTCCCATCCCCCAAAGAAACGAGGGACAGAACCAAGCAGGCAATGGAGAAAAAGAAGAAGGCAAGAGTTACTAAGGAGACTGCTACGCCTGAAGGAGAGGAGGTGAAGGAAGAGGAGGCCATGGTGGTTAGGGCAGTGTGCCATTGTACCAAGCTGCTTGGATGCAAGGAAAGAAGCAAGGGAGAGATTCACAGTGGAAGAGTATGGGTGAGTATGGTGTCTGAATAGAAGAATATCTATAGTTTATAAACAGTATTTTAACAATACTGCAGTGCCCTACTTCTTTCTGTTTCTGTTAAAATTTTTGTATCTTTCATTTTTTAGATTCCAGAGCCTCTGGCCAGCAGACTTAATATCCCTGCCCATTCAACAGTAAGAATTAAGCCAGTGAAATCAGCTATCAAAGTAGCTTCTACTATTTGCCTACAACCCCTAAATCCACTGGTGAGTGCTGGAGTGTACATCTGTGTTACAGTGTCGGATGTAAATGAAGTACAAGGACATATAATTTGTTCAGAATTGCAGAAAATTTGTTCAGCTTCTTTCCTTTCTGTCCATCTGATTTTTAATTTTTTTTGACATTTTTCTCTTCAGCCTGAGGAGGATGATGAGGAGATCCAGACAGCATTCCTTGGTTGGCTGCACACACAGAGTCACGAACCTTTAGCCTGTCTGACAGCACGGTCTGGCACCATCCTCCTACATGGAACTGATGGTGATTCATTCCTGCACTTCCGTTATAAGCCAAAGAAGTGTATTTATAAATCATGCACATACAGCTTTGCATATGGCTATGTAAATTTAAAAAAGGGGGTAATAATAAATATCTTAAATTAGCTTCTTATTTTTTTTTAAATAATGGCCCTTCACTTTTTATTCTTTTCCATAGCAAAGTTAGAGTTTGCTTTAACTGTGCTGAAACCAGAACCACAGACTGAAGCTTCAGATCAGCTGTTTCTGCTAGCACCCACAGTTATCGAGAAGAAAGACATACAGGTATCGCCATGCAAGTGGAGAATTATATATCTGTGTCTTTAAACATTTAAATGAAAACAGATTGCTTCATGCAGTTTTTATTAAAAAATTCAACACGTTTTTTAAGAAAAAAAAGTCTTTGAAGTTGTTCAGTTATCTCTTTCTCTCATCTTCAGGTAGACAGAGAGCCAGTAACCACCCCAGCTGTGAAGCCTGAAGTTGAAACACCCCATTCAGAACTTCCCTCTCTTAGTATTCTTGGGTACGTCTTTTGCTAATTCAGTACCTATGCGTGATTTAAGCAGGAGATTGTTTTTCTCCATCAGTCTCCGTCATGTCTGGGTTTTTTTTCCCCAGGGGGATGGATGAGCTTTGTAGAACTGGGTTTGAGTTTATCTCCCATAGCCTTCTGGGTAGTCCCCTCTCGAGAGAGCTGGGTACCACTGGTCGGGGACTTCAAGGTGGAGCTCTTCTCATCACTGGTGCCAAGGTATCTCTTTACTTAACATTTAAGTTAACTACTATTGCTAACACAACGGCTGTCAATATAATTCATTAACATAAGATAAATTGCTACTTCATAGCATTGATGTTTGTTTGTTGTTGGTTTTTTTTTGCAGCTTAAGCTCACTGGAGAACACATATTAACCAGTATTGTTTTCTTAAGTCTGCAACATGTTGTACTGTAACTTCTCTCTGCAGGGGAGTGGGAAGAGCACTCTATCCCAAGCCTTTTGCAGGAAAGCTAGAGAAGAGCTGGATGCACACGTTGAGGTGGTAGACTGCAAAAAGCTACAAGGTCAAGAAATACTTCATGAATATTTGCTGTCTGAATGGAAAAGAAGGATAAAATTTAACTTAATTAAAAAGATGTTTTGTTTTCCTTTTAGGCAAAAGAGTAGAAACTGTGAGACAGAATCTGATGGACATTTTTGAACAGGCAGAATGGAGGCAGCCCTCTGTTGTTCTACTTGATGACCTGGATCGTTTGACGCGGTCACCAGCCTCACCTGAACATGAACACGGCCCGGAGGCACTGCTTCAGCAGCACATTGCTCAAAGTAAAATATTTTCTTACCTGTGGGAATGCCTTTTGACAGACAGGATCGATAATCATTTCCTGCTTTGATGAGTAATGTTATCTCACTGTGGCTGCAGGCCTGCAGGATGTGGTGGATGAGGTGATGCTTCACTCTAGCCTGGTGTGTCTGATCATTACCAGCCAGAGTGAACACTCCCTCCATCCCTCT